CTTCCTAAAGCCCTATTCAAACTTTCTTACTTTCTGCAAATGTAAGACAAACGGCTTTCTGTGAGCGCGCTGCCTGTAACCAGTGCAGTGTGTTGATAAGAACGAGGGCAGCTGTCAGTTTCCCCTGCTTTGTGCCACTGCTCTGGGATTTGCAAGTTGTGAACAAACTGTATCCAGCAATGGATAGAAGTCTTTCATGATCATTAGTAATCCACTTACATGTTGTAAGTAGTTGAGTGTGTAAGAATGAGGCCCTGCCACATTGACAAAGCTGATCCAATTTATGATGCTCTCCAGTGGTAACCATCTATATTTATCACTTAATCCATAAGAGACGTTTTTATGGTACGAAACAAGTTGTCTGTGCATTGGAAACCGTTGTGCTTGCAGCAGTGACGTGTGAACAAGCTGCCCTTACATCCTGACTGGGAAGGGTGCAGCGTCACAGGGAAATACGTCTCACAGCCTGGTTCACTTTTCATTTTAAGGGCTGTAAATCAATGCGAGGCATTAGAAAGCAAACAGTTCATTCTGGAAACAGAATGGCTTTAAGCGGCCCTTTGGAGCAGCTGGCTGTAGGAGGTACCTGTTTTAGTGAGAACCTGATTGCTGGGCACCGTGCTCCCAGGTGGAACCTGCCTCCAGGAACGGCGCGTTCTGAAGAGGGGAAGAGAACGCTGGGATGATTTTCTCCACATTTACGTTTATGATATCCAGAGGATACCTCAGCTCTTCCTGAAGGTTTTGAATGAAAAGCGGTGAGGTGTCAGCCAGGAGCAGGCTCTTCTGGGCAGGAGCAATGGGAGCTGTGTGTGGGAAGGAATCCTGTGTGTCTCAGGTGCTGAGGGTACAGATACCTGCTGAAGTACCGTTGCCACTCATAGGAACGAGTTCTCAGTCGTTCATCTCACTGTACCACTTCAGCAAATACATGTATTAGACTCTTACTGTTTCTTGTTTCCTGCTTAATCCTTTTCTTTATTAAAATGTAATGAAAAGTCAAATTTAAAAGAGAATGACTTTGTTCATTAGCTGTGTACAGCATGTTTGCTTTTTTGGAGACTGAATTTCCATGGGTAGACCTGTTGCTCTCTGGCTGATAGGCAGAACAGCATCAGTACGTGTAAGGAAGGATGCTGAGAGGTTCCCAGGTTAGCTGTGCAGTGTTAGCTGGCGATGTGGGCTAGGCAGGCACTTACCTGATACTTATTTGTAGCCTTTTTTTTTTTGTCTCTCAATTTGTTTCATAACTATCAGAGCAACATCTGAAGGTCAATGAAAAGTCGCTTGCCTATGGTAAATGGCGCTGGGTTGGTGGTTGCACTTGGTGATCTCAGAGCTCAGTGATTCCTAGTGGGGAAATACTGGTGGGCCATGGGCAGCTGGACTGCGTGATTTCTGAGGTCTTCTCCAACCATGGTGATTCGATGATTCTATGGCTGAACATTACTGTGATAGTTTGGAACATTCTGACGCTTTGGAAATCTTGTGCAGAATGTGGAACTTTGGCAGTGACTCTGAAATGAGCAATTTTCTTGCCGTGCTCATGGAAAGCAATTAATGACTGCGTGGCCTATGGAGCTCCTGCACACTTGGTAGCTCCAGCATGCTTCCTTACACATTGCTCTGGTTGTCACAGGGCTTCTGCTTCAGAGAGAGCAATATCATACAATTAGAGAATGATCATTTTATATGCACGAAAAACAAGTGAAATTAAGGTGGTGAGGCCAACTATTTCAGGCATTTCTTGTCTTCAAAATATATGATTTTCCAGCTTATTTTTAAACAGTTTTTTTGCAGGGGACCTGATAGAAGGCCATTGTGCTGCACACAATGGGGAAATAACGAAGGAGGCTAGCCAAGAGCAATAGGCTGGTTTTCAAAGGCTTGCAAGTATTATTGTTACTGGGCCTATAAATATTGTTTAAAAGCCTTTTAGAAGACAGTTTTCCCCTAGGGGTGCTGTACAAAGCAACAGTGTTCTGTAGTAGAATGTCCTTAATACAAGGCTTTTAGATATTGGTACTTTCCTTAATGTCTTTATTCTAAAAATACTGAATAAGAACATTTCTGATGTGTCCTTTTCTTCCCCTCTGAGATATCTTCTTGTCCTGGATCACGCCTAGCTGTGGATGTGGGTGGCTGGTACTGGCTATCTGTGTGCCATGCAGCTGCCAAGGGATGAGATTAAATTGTGCTAGTCTGTAAACGAACAGGCTTCATTATTTAGTGAGTAGCTCCATTCATGGGGAGGTTTCTGTATTTTTCTCATTAGAGAAAATCCATCTGCATTTTCAGTATCAGGCTGTCTGGACTTGGTTCGTGCCTGCTTAGACACCTTCTCCTTCCCACATGCATCCTTTTTTTCTCCAAGCTGTGTGCTGAGCACCCTGCAACTCTCTGGGGAGCTGTGCTGGAGCCACAGCCTGCCTCAGGCATCCTCCTGCCTGGAGGTTTGGTTGCCTGGAAACTGCAGCTGGGCAAATGGGGAATTTCAGTTCTGGAGGAAATTTTCTTTGGAACAAAGACTGTGGAATTTCTTCCAGAATCACTGGATTCTTTGAGTGAGAAGTGGGCCTTTGAGAAATGGTCAGTTGAGCCGTTTCATTCTGATATAATCCAAATGTTTGCCTTTGAGTTTGTTAGGGGATATAGAAGGTTTAAGTGAAAAGTTATTTTGATAGAAAGTTTCAGTTGAATCTTCTTTAGTTTATCAAAACGCTTTCACAACTTGGAGAACGAATATCTTGTAAGAACAGGTTTGTATGACAAACTTGTGGTTCCTCCTTCATGACCGAGCCATCCCAGTGTGTTTTTAATTCTTGCCCATCATTTGTTCAGCTGAGCAGCACAGCTGTGCTTCTTTCCTCTTTCTTCAGCATCAGAAAAGTATGGAAGTGGCACTGAGGGACGTGGTCAGTGGGCACGGTGCTGTGGGTTGGGTTGGCCTTGGGGATCTTAGAGGGCTTTTCCAAACTCTATTGAGCTCAAGGTGGACCTGGGGTAAGAGATATTTTGTTTTTCCTTGAGCTTCTGATCTGCTTACAGCGTGGAGTGAGGAGGAGTGACACAGAGTTTGGCAATGCTTTTGTATTCTGCTGGCTCTGATATTAAATAGTAAGGAAAAGTCTATTTGGAGTTCCTGAAAGTTAATTCTGGAGAACTTTGCGTAAGATGCAGAATGCCTCCTGGTCCCCTTCCTGAGACAGGCAGTTTCGTTCTGAATTGCCTTCTAGGCTCATCTGTTTATAGTGGTTTTCTGTTATTTTTCTATTTCTATTGCATTACTAGAAGGATGTCAATACAATTTACCTTTCGGGGTCAAATATCTATTGTAATAACTTCTATTCATTGTGACCCATGGTAAGTTTCAAGATATCAGAGCAGGCCTTGTGTAAGGATAAATTTGATTTCATAGCAGGGCTGTGGCTGTGTTAGCTGATGGGCAGCTGGAAGCTCCCACTTTGGAGGCACGACTTTGCCCTTCTTCTTTTCATTTTTCAGTCACTTTCATTTCACTTCATGCATTTTGAAGTTAACTGGTTAAGCTGGGCTTACATTAAGTGTAGAAAGTGTAAATTAAAAGATAGGCAGCTTGGAGCATAAGCACTGCTGTAATGACTTCATTCAAAGCAGTGCTCTCAAAGGAAGCGCTGACCTACTTGCTTTACACTGGGCCCTCGTTGACCATACTTAATTAAAGTTCACTCTTTCTTTTCCCATTTAAGGAACCCGCAACGTGAAAAACTGGTGTGAATCAAAATGGTCACCACCTAGAAGTCTGCAGCGACGAGTGACAAGTAAGTAGACGCTCAGTTTCTTCTCCTTGATAAATATTAATGTTCTTGTAATCAGAGTTGTTTAATGGATGCACATGCATGGACTGATTCTGAAAGGGTGCCAAGCAGCAGGCACTAGATTTTCATCCCAGTGCCTGAACAAAAAGGGGGAAAAGAATCATTTGAATGGATTAACTGACAATACAGTGTGGAGAGAGCTAAATTGCAAGTTCTTTGACACTCCCCCGTTCATTTTAAAACAAGCGTTGCTTTTAGTTATTTCAGCTGAAATCTGCTGAAACAAATGGTGCTGGTACAGATGTACACAGAGCAGCTGAAGGCAGCTCCCAGCTCCACAGGCATCTGAGGGCTCGGGGGTTGGGGTTTGCTCCCTTCACGAGACAGAAATTCAAGAGTCTTACAGTCAGAAGTGTACTGGAGCAGCTGCAAAATGTCAGTGCAATCTTACCTATCAATGAATTGTTTCCATCTTGGAATTGAAGGTTTTGTCTCATTTAATAAGCTGTAAATCCACTTGAAAAGGTTATATTGCAATTAATTAAAATAAAAGCAAACAATGATAGCAATATCGATGTTTCCAAAGGGTTTGCTGTATTTTTGTTGTTAATGGCATTTTGAACAGAAGGAAAAGAGGTTGTTTGCAAGGCAGGCACTCAAATAGAAGTGAGTAAGTACAAAAGGAAGAGTGAGCAACAAGCAGCTCTATTGGAACAACCTCTATATTATATATGCTAGGATTGTATCAGTGAAAAAGGTGATTGTTTGCAAAAAGTTCAAAGCTGTTCCAAACAAATACTTTGCTCTGGGGCAGAATGAAGGTCTCTACTGAGTCAGGCTTTATCCAAGTGCTATCGTGGTATCAGTACATCTGCCAAGTTGCTCTGGCTTCTAGGAGTTTTGATAGAAATGATTACATGATGTACACAGTTTGTTAGAAATATATGCTATGTACTATATATATACTGTAATTGAAAACAAAGCCAAATTGCAATAGCATATGTAGCTGAAATGCTAAGTCAGGACTTAAAGCAGTGATGGAGCACCTGGTGGGAAGGCAGGCCAGCCCAGGCTCAGGTGCATGCAATGCAATGCAACGCAATGCAATGCAATGCAGTGCAATGCAATGCACCTGAATGACTGGAAGGTCTGGAGCCAGATCCATCCCTTCCTAGCCCTCATTCAAGGGTTGGCAGTGGAGGTGGGGTGTCTCACTGGAGATCCCTGCATACCTGAGGCCTTTCAGGGGTAAGTGGATTCTTTCTTTTGTTTCTGCATCCACAGCTGCTGCATTTGAGCACTTGCTGCAACCTTGGACTTTGCTACTGTGCTGCCATGCTGTGCTTTTCATCACATTACAGTCTACTAAATGTTTAATACATATCCATGTTTACTTTCTGTATGGTTGCAGAATATATTTTGCTTGATTTCAGTTAACACATTTAAAACTTGGAAAAGACAAATGGAAAAAAAATATATTGCAAGCTCCAAACAGCTACAAAACACCTGTCTCTGAGCCATGAGGGTTCCCTACTACAAAATCTTGTGTTATAGTTTTGTGGAATGGGGGCTGACACTTGAGATCTTCAACTAGCTCTTACTCAGCTTTGATAATGCTGCTTGAATAGTATAAGCCTTACTGAGGATGTGTTTTTGTTTGCTCCTGCCATGCTTCTATTGGTTAACCTCCTACAGTTAAATTGTGGAGCCATTATCTAAAGAAAATTAAATTCCCAAAAAATAAATGTAGCAATGTCAATTTAGGCCAGCTGAGAGCTCGGTCACTCTCATTGTGTAGACACCAATGGAAACAAGTGGAATTTCACCTGAACATAGGAAAGCACTTCTACTGTGAGGCTCTAGGCTGTAAAGTTTCTTTTTGGAGCTGCTCAAACAACAGGGCACGGCCTTGGCAGGGATTGGGACCAGAGGTCCCTCCAACCGCATCTGTTCACTGGCTCCGATGCCTGTCAGCTTTTCTCTCTTTTCAGTTTAGCTACAAATTTAACTTTCCTGGGTTAAAAATGCACAGGAAAGAAACCTATAATGAGGAGGCATGAAACTGCTGAGGAATAAGAGATTTTTTGCAAAAGGTGCCAGTGGTAATTTAAATTGGACGGCTTTCAAGCAGATAGAAGATGTTCTAAAGGTATTGCAGAGCTGATGCCATTTTTTAAGGCAGCCCTCTCCATTCACTGTATCTAACTGTCACTTCTCTGAGCATCCAAAAAAACAGGGCAGTGTTCCTTTAGAAAATAGATCTGTGTTATTTAAGTTGTAGGCGACTGGTCAGGGATTCCAATTATATCTCTCATGTGGATTCATGTAGATTATCTGTCTCCATGTTATTAATAATGCCTTTTAAATAATGGCATTATCTGGCTAGGTGATTTTGGGATGTTTTCTGCACAAGACACTCTCTCCAAGGAGCACTGCCTGCATCTCGTGCGACGCATGAAGAGGCCAACATCGCAGAACTGTACTATCTGTGCTGGAGAGCTGGAAAGTTGGTATTCATTGCTTTTCTCAAAGCTGGAGTATTTGGAATTGTGTTTCAGCAGTGGCTTTTAGCACTGCTAGCAGTCTGGGCAATCACTGTTGGGGAAATCCATAGTGAACATGCCATTATCACCAAACCATTTGCGTTGTTCGTCCTCATAGTGAAGTAACAAGTTAAGCAGTAAGGGCAGAGGACCTCATCCTTGGGTACATCGTGCTGAGTTTCTCAGTTCTGCTAAGGAGATCTGGTAGGTTCCAGCTGCTTCATTTTGCTGTCATAGAGACACAGGAGAGTCTTGCTAGGAGAAGGATTTGTCATCACAGGAATTAATGTGCAGATGCTCAGGGTTATGAAGGCTGTCAGTCGGGACTATTTAAAAATACTCGTGTGTGTTTCTGGAAAAACTGATGTCAGTGCTCTGCCTTTAGATCAATGTGCCCAAACTCCATCTCCTGAAGCATTAGGGAGAGCATTTCCACCACGTGAGAGTGAATTAATCAGAGCCACTTGAGCTGCTGGCAGTGCTTCCGTCCCTCCTCACCAGGGGAGCAGATTTACACACACGCTTTTGAGAAAATTCCTGGAGCTGTCAAAACTTGCAGTTGAGCAGCGAATTCTCAAGTGCAAGCATTTCACCTAAATGATTCACAAAATGTCAGAATTTAATTAAAAAAAAAGCCTTGAGATGCTTTAATTTCTGCTTCAATTACTTGATTTCTTGTCACTGAAAGTTCAAAATAACATTTGATGTCATTTGAGATTGTTTGACACAACATATGGATGTTTATGTACACGACAGTCAAAATATTTTCTTTGTTTCACTTTATTTTAACTTTAATCCACTACAAATCAATACCACGTGCCTCATTTTCTTGGTCCAGATTTCTTCTGTTTGTGTTGCAATGAAACATCTCGGCGGTTTGCATCAGGAAATATTGGACACCTTGTGAATGAATGGAGGAGCAGCTATTTTCAGTCCTCTAGAAATGTTATCGCAGTCTAACACATGGGTGTTGAAAACAGCTGCTCCTCTAATTAGTTCACTGAGTATTTCATTTTTCTACATGACTGATAATGATAAGGCGCACCGTTACGATGGATACAGCAGGAAGTCACACGGAATGTGCTGAAGGCATTTTCATACAAGGGTTTGGTTCTGAAGTTGGAACTTTGGAAATTCATTTTGCAGCAGTGGCCTCACACAATGTCTTCACGAAGTCGAACAAGACGTTTTGAATGGGAATAAATCTAATGTTCTGCGTGCTGACTGTGAAGCTTAATGGCATCAGAGATGTTAATTAATGCTATCTCTGAGTTTTTTGAGCACACTGTTATATGCATTACTTTTGTTCTGTATGGGAATGCAGATACCTGAACGCCAACATTTTCTGTAATGTGCCGAGCATCCTTAACACCAATTGGTGGAATTAATTTCAGACTTGCTTTTTGTTCTATCATAGCACTAAAAGATCAATCACCTTTAACCAGAAAGCAGTGGTGGGCAGCTTTGTCTTTGACTCTTCTCTTTCCCTTATGAAAGAAACACTTGGGTTTTGTGCAGCTTGTCTCTCGTGTTTCTTTGAAGACAAGGGAGTTTCTGTGTGTCTTTACACCGGGAGTTTGCCTGTCACTTCTATATGGTAACAGTATTATGTGATTTACATGCCACCCAACACAATTCCACTTCACTTAACGCGGCCCAGGCGAGCCAACAGGTTGCACCCCCGTGATTTAAAAGTACAGTCAAAAGTATGTGTTTATGTACTTCTGAGGGGAAATGTTTATGTGCAAAATCCAAACCTTGATTTCATATGAGTGTTAAGAGCTGAGATTTTGGTTGTGAGTCATCTTTAGTCATTGCGGAGTCTGACATTTCTGTTTGGAAAGGGCAATACTGTACACTTAGGCGGAGGAGTTTGGCTGATTTAAATGTTTTATTGACTGATGGAATGTTTTGGGAGTGGAGGAGAGGAGGAAGTGAACATCCTCTGTTTGCCTCCTCTGTTATCTTTGTTTAACATCGTGAACTTGTGGGGTGACGCTCGGTGCCAGACTGGTGCATTCCTTCTAGAATCAGCTCCACTCGTAACACTTTGCATGCAGATGGGCCGCTTGGGAACAAATGCAGCAGGCTTAGAAGATCCCAGCACTGTAGGTTCAAATTTAGCTGCTGTCAATGTATGTAGAATGGTCAAAATAATAGAGTATCCCAAGTTGGAAGGGGCCCATAAGGCTCAAAGAATGGCTCCCAATACTGGGAATTGTTTTCTTCATGAGAAATTTGGGAGCCATAGCACATTCCCCATACCATATTTCAGAAGATCTCTCAACAAGCTTCTGAATTTCAGATGCATCTGTAAGCTGATGGTTCTTTTTAGGCAAATTCCCTGACAGGAAAAATGTAACTTGAGAAAATTTAAACCAACAACTTGTTCTAAAGCAGCACGGGCTTCCTTTTCCATTGGACTGACATCTGTGATAATCATCTTCTAGATCTAGAAGGCAGGTTCTTTGCTAAAGAATATCTTTTTTCTATCATAGAAAGTGACAAAATGAAATCGTGTTGCTGTGGTTTGGTGTGTAAGAAATGAATGTCCACAAAAGGTGAGTTCAGCACCTTGCAGCCTGGTCCCTGGGAGCGTTCAAGCTCTGCAGACCTCTCTGATGTGTGTGTGCACAGGAGATCTCTTTCAGGGCACTCCCTGGCCTTCACTGATGTAGAGTCACCTGTGGTACACAGAACGTGTTGGGCTATAAGACTGTTTTCATAACATCCTGTTTCTGTAAAATCCCTTTCAGTAATACGGTAAATAGTAAATCACGTGGTACTTTTCAGGTTAAAATTACTAAGTGGTTGTTTTTAAGCCTCCCATCCTGTTTGACTAACACCAGAACATGGGTGGATAGAGACTGGGCTGTAGACTTCAGGACTTCAGGAGATGTACCCATGTGTTACCTCATGTCCCCAGCCCTGCCATTTGGGTTTTGTCTCTTTGCTTGCTTGTGCCACGAAATGAGATTGCAATGCTTTTGGGACAGGGACAGAGCTCCACGGTTTTTGACTGGCTCCATTTGTGTCCCCCCGAGGGGCAGGGCAGGTGCTCTACCTCTGCAGCGTTTGAGCATGGGGACGCAGGGCAAGGAACGCCATTTCCTTGTCTCCATTTTTATCACAGATTGAAGTTGCAGGTGCAAGCTCTCTCCTGTCACTTTTGTTAGTTTTATAGATATCTCTAGCTAAAAACGACCTTCTAATATTTTATGATAAAGAAATCAGCCCAGTGTATGAACAGAAACGTCTCTTTGGTAGAATTTACTGAACGCAGTTATACTTGCTCTTTCATTTATGCATGCCAATTTGAAGTAACCTACGGGACTTAATTGGAGCTGGTGCTTTGATACACTGAATGCTGAGAGCTGGATGTGGTCAATATATGAGAGAGAGAGAATAAGAGAGACTTGCTGTTATCATTGGTCTCCTGCTTCGTCGCAGGACTTGGTTTCAGCCTGGAAACAGGACTAGTTAGTGATCTGTGTCTGATTTGATAAGAGTGAAACAAATGGATTAAGTGTGTTAGAGATTACTTTGAGCAAAAGGGAGCAGGACTTTAATTAGAAGATTCTGACAACTTTTCAGGTTATTTAAACAGGGCTAACTTAATAGCTGTCATCAAAACATCTCTCAACTGATAAACATAAATGGCTTTGCTGAGAACAGAGCAGAAGTACATCTGAGTACATTCAGGGGAGATGAAGTAATTTGATGCTGAGGATGTCACTGAGTATGTTGAGGAGGCACAGATCTCAGCCTCATATGTTCTTAATGGAACTTCTTAAACTGTAGAATATCAGCCTTCTGAACGAGTATATTTTATGTGTTCAGATTTTTAACATCCAAGAAGTTTTAAATTAAAAGCAACTCTGGCTGGATTTTGGCAGCTGCCAGTAGCTAACAGTCTGAATTCCAAAATGCTGCCATCTTACACAGTCAGTGAGCAGGCTGGAAGTCGTGCGTAACAAAGCAGGGAATTGCAGAATGTAAGGAGGGACTACATTTTATAGATGTTAAATATGGGGAGTTTTCTGGCATTGAACAGGCAACAGACACACTTAGGAATATTGTGTGTATATTTAGTATTCTACAGGACACCATAACCACAGTGTCCTAGGCCAGGTGAGCCCTCGGATCATAGAATCATAGAATTGTCTGGGCTGAGATCATCCAGTTCCAGCCCCCTGCTATAGACAGGGACACCTCCCACTAGACCGCATTGCTCAGACCTATGAGATATACAACCTCATTTTGGTGATAGAGAAGCCATTTCGTGCATCACTTTCTTTACAGCTGTATTTATGTTTTTATTAAGGCAAAAGAAAAATTGTTTGAATAACTGTGTTTTAGAATATTGAATTTATACCTCAGATAGACAGATATCGAGAAAAGATGCCACAGGGATGAATGTTTTCAATGTCTTTATCAGCTTTTGTTGCTTCTTCTGAATGTCCTATGTCTATTCTAACTTAAAGAGCATCTTGGCAAAAGAATGGGTTGGCATAAACAGCCTTTGAATAATTTTTAAGTTATAGTTACAGTTATTAACAGTAGTCTGAATCTTAGAAAAGGTTATTTATATTTTGCAGAATGCTTTAGTAGGATTTGCTAGAAGGGAGAAACCTGCTGACTGGAGTTTGGGAAGAAGAGTTTGGGTAAGAAATTAAAGATGTGGTTTTAATCCAGAGCAGGGGGTCACAGTGCACCAGCACTGCTGCTTCCCATCCTGGGCTCCTCAGCCTCTCTGTTTTTATTCTTTAGGAACAGTAGCATAGATTGTTAGGATGTTGTTCATCTTTCTGATACCATCTGTTTTCCTTGGTGGGAGGGAGAAATGGGATGCATTCCAAGCTGTTCCAAATGTTTTTTTCCCTCATTCAGGCTGAGATTCAGATGTTCATGTTCAGTTTCTGATGCGGTTCAGTGGCACTTACAGCACTGTACTGTGGGCAGTCCTGATCCATATGTCACTTGACCCAGCAAAACTGTAATCACCTCTATAGAGACAGAAAGGTCTGTGGCACTTGCTATGAGATCAAAGTGCCGTGGTTTGTCAGCGAAGCTATCACTGCATCCCTTTGCAATTTACAATTTGCTCTTTCTTCTGTATTGACTCAATCCTTTCCCTCAGCCACACGCTCAGCTTCTGTTCCTGCTCCCTACTGCCATTAGCGGTTCCTGCCTCTCCTCTCTCTAATCATCTTGACTGCTGCTGATTGTTCACAAGTGTCCAGACGCTCTCATGTCCCACTCCAAATTCTCTTACTTTCTCTTGCACTAAAATAATGGGCACTGTCTGGATCTTGCAACCGTCGTTGTGTCTGTCCTCATTTTCAATTCCATGTACCATTTTTTTACAACTAGCACCTGCCAATTTGAGCAGATTTATATTCTTGCTCCATGCTTTCTCCCTGCAGTTACACGCCATCACATCGGTGAACCTCTCGAGAGGCTGAGAAGCTGGCGCTGAAGCTGAAGCCTGGGAAGTGCTCCTCAGTATTTTTTGCTGGCTTGTGCAATGTCTGCTGCAGAAGAGCTTTCTGCAAGTCCCTCTCTTGCATGACAACACTGTGTGAAACTGTCATAACCAGTACAGCTGAGAGTTGGAAAACAGTGAGTATATTGAAAGACCTTGCAGCAATTACATTTAAATGCTGTTCTTTGCGGGCATCGCCACTCAACCCACAAACAATACCAGCTCTGTTGGTGTTCCCCTACGTCTTGTGGCAGTAGTTAAAAGATAACTTTGCTTACCAGTCAATAGATAGGAGCAGATACCTAGATTATTATGAAAACTGCTTTGTTTCTTTAAAGCCGAGTCTCAAGAAGATGAATTTTGCCTTTTTTTTTTTCTTTTTTTAAGGCTATTGAGGGGATGAATGTTTTTTATTTTAGCATTATGGAATTCAATGAAAAAATGTACAAATGTACTTGATTGATCTTAGCAGAATCGCCTCTGAGTTAAAGAGTAAATTTAGTAAATTAGTGAACGTGTGATCTTCAATTTCTTTATGTATGGTGGTGCTTGGTGATCAACCAACACTGAGGTCTATGAGGTGCATTGTTCTGTGTATGCTTAGTAGAGATTTTTTTTCTACGTGGGTATCCACGTCCGTACAGCAGCCCTTTTCCATTGCTTTCTGAGTCACTTGAAGGTAAGCCACATAGAGACTGAACGTGGGAAAGGAGTGTGCTTTAACAGGCCTACAAGTAGTGGTATGAACTTCATGGCATAGCTGTTGTTCAGTCTGAGCTGGGGATGTTGTTTCAGTTTTGATTGGCGTTAGCACAGTACCTGCTTCAGAGGGCTTTTTGTCACAGGTTGTGGTTGTCCTAACGATTCTGATAGTTGGAGACATGCCTATTAAAATATCTTAGTGTTGCTAATTCAATTGGGGATGACAAATTCCATGTTTCGCTTCTCTTTATCTTACAACGTCTTGCCTCTAGGTCATGTTTCTGCTCCTTTCTAGATTTACTGTCGCTGGAGCAGATTGTACAATGGGGGCTGTGTGCCTGTTTATAAATTACTGTCAAAAGGCTATCACTTCTTGTACAGCTAAGACTTACTTTGGGAGGTGGGTGGATGCCAACATTTTGCTTAGTGCTTCGTCAGTGTTGGTTTTTTTCCTTAAACTCTTGTTTCAGGCTATGAGAAATGTCCTTGGACTTCTCGCATTCCCTGTGCCTGCTCAGGGATGATATCTTAGCCCTCAAAGAACACTGCTGACCTAACTGAGCTGAGGCAGAGAGGACCTTGTGTTTTGTAAGTGAGCAGTTAGCAATTGAGCTGTGACCACCAGACAAAACAAGGGGAGAAGCTAAGTGAAAAACAAAGACGTTCATTGTTGCTGAGTGGAGAGAACTGCCCAAATGCTTGAATCTTCCAGCTTTGATATGTCCAAACCTGCAATTTTAGATGAAATCTGATGAACCCCTCCATTAAGAATGAAGCCCGTGTATTTTTGAGTGGAACAACTTGGTACAGGTCTGGTTGATGCTCCCAGTTCACAGTGAAAGTAATGAAATTCTCTTCAGAATGTTATTGCTAAGGTTGCATAATTGGGTATTAAAGTTCTGATTATACTTTAACAAAGTCCTGGAGTTTGTAAAAGCCTGACATTCCAATGTACTGAATTTCAGAGTTTGACAGCTCAGCTGTGAGAATTTTTTTAGAGAACATTTGTAGCATAAGAACAGCATGTTAATTGACTAAAAAAAAACTGGGACAGATTAATCATGGGAGGGTATACGATACCTAAAGGAGTGTAGTTCTAGAGCCCTCTGCTGATGGAAGCCCTCAGAAATGCAGGATTATCCCAATACCCTGCTTTGAACAGCCTGGGTTGTTATTCCCACGCGTTGGGGTGAAATACATTGCACACAAAGGTGGGTTCCCTCTGGCACTGCCCAGGAGGGGAGCCTCGAGGACTGGATTCCTCCCGAGCCTGGATTTCCTCCTGGCTGAAGATGGGGCAAGATGACAGCTTCTTCGTGCCAGCAGCTGTGCCTCCTGGCATAGTGCTAGCATGTGGGTTTGCAAGGATGTCAAATTCAGCAGTGGCTGTGATGGCGTTCTTCAAAAAAATTACCAAAAAATGGCTGAGTGCTATTGACTCTTCTGTTGGAAGAGAAGAGAGAATAGACTCAAGCTGGAAATTGAATGAATAGTCTGTAGCTAACAGTCTATAGCTGCCTCTGAATATTCCAGCTTGGTTTCACAATGTTGTTGTGGTTACACAGGAACCTTTCGCAGCACAGCCTGCCCTACTGCCTGAAGTGAGTGTAGTGGTTGTACTACAGGAGCATGGAACAAACCAGGCATCTTTGTTTTCCAGCATTACCCTAAATGCAGAATCGCGGAACCCTAGAACCACTGAGGTTGGAGAAGCCCTCCAAGCCCACCCCCCTGTGCCCACATCCCCACGGCTCTGGAACACCCCGAGGGCTGGTGACCCCAGTGCCTGATTGCTCTTTGTGGACTGGCCCTTACCCCAGCTGTATGGCCAACCAGAATTTCCAGGTGGTCTGGTGCCTAAAATAGGAACCTGAGCTTTGTTGGCAGCATCTCAAGAGGGACTGTTTTAGGCTGAGAGGGATTCTGTAGCTCTGAGGGTCGCTGTAGAGGAAGGGTTTCCCTTCTCATAACAGGAGAGATCAGTTTGGAGTGGCTGGGGGGCTTCTCTGAACTCAGCTCAGGATGGTGGGGCAGCTGAGAGCTGCAAAACACTTAAACTACGAGTGCAGAAAACTGCAACGCGCATTTAAGTGTAAAAACCTGGCCTGTTGAAAGGGAGAATATGCCACCCACCATCTTCCTTGGGGAAGTGAAAGCAAATAGTAAGTAAGCACCAACAGGGAATGATTAATTCCATTTACTTGTGGTGGCCTTTCTTCAGCATTCTTTCTGTGTGCTCAATAACCTGTGAAATACCAGTAAATAAGTATGCACGTTTGCCATGGCGTAGTTAACTTCTTGCAGGAGCCCTGTACCTTTTTTGCATTGGCAGCTTTTCTTCTCCTGCAATGCTTCTTGTTACACCTTCCTTTAGTATCTGCACTTCTGTGTCCTTCCTCCCCAGGATTTGAACACTGCAAGGTTGGACGGAGTGCTCTGTGCAGATACGTCTGTGAATCCACCTAAAGGAGCCATAGTCCTGCTGTTAAGTAACACAGTCCTTCCTGAAACAAACACAGCTTTTTTTAGAGTACGGATGTATTTTAAACTATGAAGGTGGACTAAGCGACCGCCCTGAGTTCTGCAGGTATTTAATTGAGGATATTTTTGTTCACCACGTCACAGCTCCAGGGTAATGCTGGGAGCAATTGGTGCTGAGGGGAGAGGGCACAGTGCAGATTTAATTAGTTGATTCTGCCTAAAAATACTCAAGAGAGAACTGTGGCAGCTACTATGCACTGGAAACCAGAGGAGATGTGGTTGGGTGTTTGTAGGCAGCGAGGTATTTAGGGAGATGAATGTCTGTGCGGATGGCACATTGTATTCTCGTGCTCAAGTAACTGATTTTCATGGGTACTTGTGAGAATTACGTTTTTAAGATTGCATTTGTGCTGTCATTTTGGCATGGCAGCTTTTGCGTTTTGGTAATCCGATTTGTGAACATACACGCAAGCATATTACAGCACAGATGTGCAGCATTACTGATTATGGTGAGACAAATGGGGAGCAATTAAGAAAATCTGAATCCGCGACTGCGAAGGAGGATAGAAGAATGACACTTAAACTGATGGGCAATGAAAGGTTTTATTTTCTTGGTGGCACAATTTAAGATGTGTAGAAAGAAGAGAGCAAGGAAGGGGGAGAGCATTTATTTGCAACGAGCAGTGGTAGAACGGTGTTTGGGAACCAGTTTATGTTTGTGCAGTTAAGTTGGAGAATTTGAACGTTTATGTAGGAACTCCTAGAAAAGAGAATAACTGTCCAGTAAGGGAAGTGTGATTGCTGGAAATGCTGGTTATGCACCGTAGGGTAGAGCTTATAGAGGGATCTGGGGCACTGGGAGGAGAAGCTGGGGGATGCAGGCCAGGATGGGTTCAGAGGTCAGACCTGTGCTTGAGATTTTGGAGGAAGAGGGAGCCAAGAACCATACTGAGATCAGAAGGGGAGAATGGGCATGTGAGAAGTTACTGCTGCTGGAAAAAAAAGGCTAAAGATCTAAATAAGCTTGGGGAACTGCTAATGTAAAATATAGAAAGTGTTTCTAGAAGAGAGAGCAGCAAGATGAGAGAAAAAAGCAGCATTTATGGCACTGAGTCACTTGGAAAGTGGAGGAGGTGAACTGAGTGGTGGTGAGGTGAAGTCCAAACACTGCCTGTACAAGGTGAGCGTGGTGGGGACCCAACCAGCCCTGCATGGGCTGCGGATGGCAAGAGTATGGATGGTGGTGCAAAAGCAGGTTTCATTGTGGTGCAGAGCTGGGCATGGTCCGTGTCCTCAAGGTCACAGGCTGCAGGTGAGGCCAAACCTGATGAGAATGTAAGGAACGGCAGGAGCATTCCTGGGCAGTGACAAGGGACAGAAGGTGGAGCTTCGGTGGTGGACAAAGTTGGTAGAACTCAGAAACACGTCATAACATCCGTTTGTGGCGTATGGAAAATCAACGTAACCTCCTGCTGGTACCTCCATGTGCAGTGGGAGGAGCAGAGGCCCCTGCCCAGCACCCTGCTGTGTGGGTTCTCAGGTCAGCTTTCACTGTGAGCCAGAGCTGTCCCTGTTAATTAAAACTTTTTTCTCTAACTGCAGTTTGGAGTTGCAGGTTATTATCTCTGGAACTTTCATCCTGCAAGCTCAGCAAAACGCGTACAGTTTTCCTGCAGTAAGCTCCTGCTAAGCAGATTAATATGTCACGAATAATGCAGACGGATTGGGATGTAAACTGCTGGGAAGTCATTGGGTATTCTGTGCGATCCTTTCCTCTGTGAGGAAGAAAGCCAAACTTAATGAAAGTTATACAGCTCATATTTGAATAGTCATTTGTTTAGTTAATGTATTTAGCAGGTAAATTATGTTTTCTGTGCTGTTCCTTTGGATAGCAGTTCTGGCCTTCATATGGGCAGCAAAATTTATTACTCCATAAGGCAAGAAATAAAGCATA